TCATCTCCCCTGCCCCGGGGCTCTGGAGCAGCGAGGAGGGGCCGGGGGGGATGCCCAGGGCGCGGAGGGGGAGGGCTGGTGTCCCTGAGCCTTGCGGGAAAGGGGGGGATTGCCGCTGGAGGCAGCGAGCGCCTCGTCTCAGGAGGCTGCAGGCTCCCTTTGCAGCGGGAGGTGGGTGCAATAGGGTGTCCAAGCACGCAGAGGGTGCGTGCCACAGCTCAGCACCAGCAATCGCTGTGTCCTCTGCAAAGCGGAGGAGGCGTTGGGGTAGGAGCACCATGCATCAGCCCTGCCGCCTCCCCTCACTCAGGAGAGCGCGGCGATGCTGGGCAGCCCCCGGCAGCAGAGGCAGGGCTGCAGCTGGCTGAGGGCAGAGGAGCAGCCTGTGAGACTTTGGGGCATTCACGTCAAAATGCTCGTGTCCTGGCACCAGTCAGCCCCTGCGACCTCCTTGGCAGCGGCTGGAGGAGGCCCTGGTGCTGGGGCGGTAAGCAGAGCTCCTCCAGCCTGCTGGGCGACTGCCATCCCAGCGGGAATTTCGGGACCTCTGATACCTCCTGTTCCCGGACCTGCCTGTCCCCCCTGCCCAACTACCTGGGCTGGTCCCCACTTCCACTCCATCCTGCCCTGGGGAGCAGCAGAGTCCGTGGGCTGGGTCATGCCAGCCAGCCAGGAGCAACATCCCCACTGCCCCTCCAGCATCCTCCTGCTCCCCAGGCCTGGGCACCCGGCCGAGCCCCCCCTTTTGCGGGCGAGCAGCTGGCAGATGGGACCTGCCGGCATCTTCCCATGCCTAGCAAGGGGGAGGCAGGAGCCAGAAAATCCTGTGCAGGGAGCCAGGGAGCTGCCGGTGACATTCATGCTGGTCGCCGGAACAATTCCCGTACGGCATGTGCAGCCTGGGGCTCCCTGAGGACTCGCATTCTCCCAGCAGACACTGGCACGGCGGGGCCAGGGGGGCTCATAACGGCCCCCTTTGTGCGGGTGGCGGGAGGAGAGGTGAAGCTTTGACGTCAGCCCGGGAGGAATTCCTTAATGCCATTCAGGCCTCCCTCGCCCGCGTTGCTAATTGCATTTTATGTAATAGCTGCAGCTGGGTTCCCAGTCCGCTATTGAGAGCGGGATAAGACAGAGTGACGGGGGCGGCGGGGGCCCGGGCAGCGCCAGTGGCTGCGAGGCACACTGAGCCAGTGTCACCGGGCACGAGGACCCTCATGGCCCTGCACCCTGGGGCCCCGGGACTCAGCCACCCCTTCCCCGGCGTGGGGAGCAGCTCGCATCCACTGTGAGCCGCATTGCGTGGGGCTGGCATGGGGGTGCATGCAGAGGCTGGTGCCCGCTGCACACAGGGAGGACAGACATTGGGAGCTCAGTGGGGAAAGCCAGAGACGGGTCAGAGGGGAGAGGGGCACCAACGCTGTGGCCAAGCCGGCGGGTGGGACCTCTCCGGCCAGCACAGCCAGAGGAGCGCTTCCCTCTGCAGGGTTTCCCTTCGCTCCCCGTTTGGGGATGGTTTGCAGCATTGCAACCGTGCCGCCAGTGCCACCCAAAGGCACCGCGGGGTGCCCGGGTCCCGTGGCGTGGGGCGAGGGGTGGCCAGGCAGCACTGGCCCCCTTCCCCTGCCTCATGTGCATGATCGCCTGTCACTGCAGTGAGCTTGGAAGAAGTAGTAATAAATTGTTTTGGTATCTAAGGGGTAATTGTATTTAATGGACACGAACGAGGCAGTGATTTACCTCGCTAGTGTTACACCGTCAGGTTTCCAGCTGCGTGAGCCTCAGACGATAAAATAATGTATTTTCTGCCCTCTACTCTGCTGTTGGATCTCCCAAAATATCCCCGCAGGGTCCCCGTGGCTCTGGGGACCTCCCTGCGTGCCCAAAGAGAGGAGCAGCAAGAACTGGAGGCTGCTCCCTCATGCAGGGACCCAGAGGCACTCACCTCCTTTTTGGGGTGCTGCTGGCATTGCCTCCCCCCCCTGGTTTGCCCCCCCTCACCCCGCTGCAAACCCTGGCATGGAGACCCTCACCCAGGCACTGGCAGGGACAGGCCGACCCAGGCACACGGTGGGGGTGCAATGCAGAGGGGGAGTTTTCCCAAGGAGGAGGAGGACGACGACGACGAAGGGGGTTTGGGGGGGGGGGATGTTGGCAATCATCAATGGGAAAGACGGCGGGACCCCAGACATCCCCTCCCCCCTGCCGGCGTGGCCAAGCTTAGGCTGTAAAAAGAAAGAGCTGGTACCAAGGATAACATGCTTCGCATTCCTGCGCTGTCTCCGGGGGAATTTCGACTGATCTACATGAAAAATACTCGCTGCCCCCGAGGTCAAAGTGTCTGGAGGAAAAATTTCCGAGCGGAAAAGCTT